TTGTTGCGATAAACTTGAGCATGAAATGTTCGATTCGACTTTTTTCAAAAATTACATTTTCCCCCACAATCAAGGTCAAACTTCCGAAATATCTGGAAAGTTGATCGTCGCGAGTTGCATCGCAAGCCCTTGAAAAGACCATCGGGGAGGGTACAAAGAAAACGAAGATTGCTGAGAAAAGAAAGCACTGTGATTAATGCAGCGATTCACAACCCATCTTGATGGTTCAATATCGGAAAATCACAATCAGACATTAGCACAAAAAAGTGCGTATATCAATAAATCCTGATGAGTGTAACAGTCGTCCGCTTTTTGAACATATGAGGTTGAGAAGAGTAAGCCCTATAACCTTTGGCTCAAGGGTCAGGGACACTATATCGTGTATTTTGCACCTCATTCTGTCGGAGCCAATTCGGTTCTCTTAAGACATGAGACTACGAAATTGTGTTACAGCTTAGAGGCCACTACTAAATCTCCCCCCCCCCCCACACTCTAGAAATAAAAGCGTCCACATGGCTAGGTCTCCAAATACCTAAAACACGCTGACGCCGTTAAAAACAGGGTTTGAAACTCAAGTATACCATTAGTTTTTAATGGACAGTGGACCTTTGATTCATTTCAGATGGCTCAACATAAATCCGCCTTATCTCATCATAATCATGTAAACTATTTTCACGAAACTAAATGCATTACTCTCATATTCAACTGACTCTAGGCTCAAGTAAAAAACGTAACTTGGATAACTCTGGAAGATATTTGTGATACAAATAGTTTTGTTCTCTGTACCATTGGGCACTCTCGTAGCGTTTCACAAGCCATCTTGATGATTCAATTTCGGAAAATCACAATCAGACAGTAGCAAAAAAAGTGCGCGATATCTTCTTATCCTGATGAGTGTAACAGTCGTCCGCTTATTGAACATATGAGGTTAAGAAGAACAGGCCCTTTAACCTTTGTTTAAGATAACTCTGGAAGTTTTAAGAAGATTTTTTTTTGACGCAAGTAGTTTTGTTCTCTGAACCATTGGGCTGTTGGACTCGTCTACTTGCCCAATCAAGGTTCTCTCTTGCCCAGCGATGACACTCTCGTAGGAATTCGTGATGTTTTCTGTCAGGAACAAGACAGCTCTACTCGAGCTGGTGATTTAAGCAAAATTGCAAATAGCAATTTTTCTCCAGCACACTTTTTATCAAATTTCCAGTAATTATGATTTGGATCTTCTGACTAAATTGACTTCTCATATCAGTTGTCACGATAAACTTAAGCATGAAATGGTCGATTCGATTTTTTCAAAAATTACATTCTTCCCCACAATCAAGGTCAAATTTCCGAAATATCTGGAAAGTTGAACGTCGCGAGTTGCATCGCAAGCCCTTGAAAAGACCATCGGGGAGGTTACAAAGAAAACGAAGATTGCTGAGAAAAGAAAGTACTGTGATTATAGTAGCGATTCAAAACCCATCTTGATGGCTTAATGTCCGAAAATCACAGTCAGACCTTTGCAGAAAAAATGGGCGATATCACTATATCCTGATGATGCTAGCTATAGCGAAAACATTCGAATTAATATCTATCATTCTTATTTGAAATTTCTTACATAATTCAGACATAAAGTTTTGAACGAAAAAATCGATAAAGAAGTTTTTATTGGTAGTTTGTAAATTTTGACAGTGAGTTGATATCTTTGATAATTTCTTAGTGGAAAAGCTTAGTGGAGAATTTGACCGACAAATTTTACAAAATTGCCCTTTTGTCTTTATCTATAAGTGTAGAAAGTATATTTGAAGTGGTCTGGTGGTAACACTCTTCTAAAGAATCTATTGAATGGCAATCGTCAAAAACGGCGGGATCATAATTCTAAACGAGTACTCATTCTTTAGACGTTTTTGTCACTTTTTCTTGATGTTTGATCATCGTGTATATAAAATTTTCTAAAATCCTTATGATGCACGAAATGTGAGAAAACGTTTGAATTATCATTTTAAAATTTTTATCAAGACTATTATAATTTTTATTATCGTAGTCGGAACTTTTCGTGCGACTTCCGCAGCGTGCAACTCTTCATGTTAAATTTGGTCTTTTCCGTTGTAACTAAATTTTTTTTTCATGACTGTTGTAATTCATATCAATAAATCGTTTGGCAGTATAGGCCAGCTGGTCGATTCCTCGTAGCTTGCCAGATTTGATGAGACTACATTTGTTTTATTCTGTGTACGTATCCTTTTTTCAAATTTCTTAAATTTCAAAGTTCATTACTCTAATACGAGACAATACAAGAAAAGCAGAATTTACGGGATAAAGTTTGTTCCAGCCTGATAGTTTGAGGCGTTTGAACAAATTCAAAAGTTAAACATCATTTGTGTTTGGCATGTTAAAGTACCTATCAGCGATCGATACAATTGGTAAAAAAAATTGTTGGGGTACAATGTAAATGCGATGTTTTCTTAATCATGATCTTTATCTGTTCTGGAATAGTGAAAAATGGTGAAATAAAGGTGGCTTGGGCGTTTCTTCCGCTCGTCTACTCGCTTTACCCGCTTTCTTAGCCTCCGCAGTAGGAGCAAAAGATGCCTTGAGCGAAATCTTTGGTTTGGAGCATGTGGATGGAACCTATGATGATGCGCTTACACGGTGGTTTGAACTTGGAAAAATTGAAATGGCTCCGGAAAATGAAATCCAAAAAAATGGATGGAGCCAATTTTTGACAGCGAAATTGCAGACTTGATTTTACGACTCGAACCAACGGACGCAAAAAGATTCAACGCGTTCCAAGATAGGTTTGGCACCCAATGGTTGAACGTCATCCCGTGCAAAAATTTAAGGTTAAAACTGTCGAACCAACAGCTCAGAATTGCAATAGGACTTCGATTAGGCTCAAAAATATGCGAACGGCATAAATGCGTGTGCGGAAAAGACGTTACCGAGGATGGTTGGCATGGTCTTTCTTGCCTCAAAAGTGCAGGGAGATTCTCTAGGCATTCAAACCTGAATGCCCTTATAAAGCAGAGTTTATCTTCTACTCACAATCCGTCTGTTTTAGAACCACGACACCTCTACAGGACCGACCAGACGGTTTGACGCTCGTTCTATGGGCTGTTGGTAAGCAGCTCTTGTGGGATGTAACGGTAGTAGACTCCTTAGCTCCTTGTAGGATTAATGCCGGTTCTGTTTGTAACCCTGGTACGGCTGCCGCTGAAGCGGAAGAGCGAAAAATGACAAGTATAAAGATCTGATGGATATCTTTTTCAACCGCTATCTTTTGAGATTCAGGGCGCGGCCGGCCCCAGCTCAGAAATTTTTTGAGCAAGCTTTGTAAGAACCTAAGCATGTGCACTGAGGAACCCAGAGCAGGCAGCTTTTTAAAACAGAGAATCTCCCAAGCAATACAGATTGCGAACGCCGCTTGCGTACTTGGAACAATGAATGACAAAATAACTTTCGACGAAATTTTTTGTTTGTAACATTTGTATATTATATTTTCTCGTGTCGAGTTGCGTGTTCTTATTCAACAAACGTAACCCGTATCGATATTAATTGAAAAGGACTTGAACATTTGTCATCTTCTGTTATCATTATCACTTCCATATCTGGAAAATTCCAAGGATTTTGACTGGAATACGTGATGAAGGGACTCCTGACTGTAACCTCGGTTACTATGATACTTTTGACCTTCTGATTACCTTTTAAAAATTATGAAAAAAAAAATGATGGGGGCCTTTCCGAGTACAGCGTCCAGCAAAAGAGTACCGCGCTCTCCATAATAGTATAAGCACAGTATAGAAGGGGCTATAATTTTAATAGTTGTAAAAACAGCAAAGGTTAAAAAGCAGTTGGCTTATAGCCCGTTGAGTTAACTTCTAAAGCTTCCAGTAAGCAGGCAGCATTACCGCGTTTCAGTGCAATGCCGAGTCTTTGTTTGAGGAACGTCAATGACCTTTTCTCACCAGTGGTCGTCTTGATTCTATAGGAAATAGAGGATAGAGTTTTGTATGTCGAGCTTCCGATGCCACCAAGATGTTCCACGGCGATGGGCTCGAACATGCAGTTGCGTGGCAGACCAGAATAGTGTTGGCGCTTACGAAATTCAGCATGGTTAGCAACAGTGGGACCATCTTCGAGGCCTGTTGATAGATTTGACTGTGCTTGTCGGTTTACACAGGTAAAGTCCCAGACTAAAGCTGCGCCATTTTTCCATGGAACTAAAGTAGCACCGTCTGGTCTTTTACCATCGTCACGCAGCATACCGGTCGGCTCGAGTTTGCTGTGTACTCCTGCTGATTTCAACGCGTCTCTGATGACTTCATTACCAAGTTGATGCCTGATGAAACGACTTTTGATTTTCGGGCATATAAGTGGATGAATGCCTTGGCTGTCGCATTTAGTGCCACATGCACAGTTGCATGAAAAAAGAAGGGGGCACCAAGGCGAAGTCCCGTAGCAATTCTGAAAGCGTCATCAGTCAGCTGGAGACCGAGCGTATCAGACGGAATAGCAGCAAGCCAGTCTCCGGAACCGGGAACAGAGCATCCTTGTAAACGAACTTTGTCACTGTCACAGGTGGTGTTAGCTAGGAGAGACGACCGCCTACGAGAAACAATAGGAGTGTACCAGCTTTTCTGCCACTTATGCTTGTCTTCCAGTGGCATATCAGGAGAAACAGTTTCAGACCACAGTTCAATGGCATTCTTGAAGGACTTGCTGGTGTATTGAGACGCAATGACTTTGAAGACGTCTTCACTGGTGGCGAGTGTAGACGAAATATAGGCAGCCAAAGTAAGGTCCGAAGGTGACTGTAAGCCTAGACCACCGAGTTTGATAGGCAATGTGAGCTGATCCCATTCTCTGTTGGTAATCAGAATGTTACTGACAGTTTGAACAGCTCCACGGATTTTTAATTACTATGTCGGGGCGGCTATTTTTGTTACTAGGCCAGGGAGACGCAAGGTTGCGCACACCAGGCTAAATTAGCTATGTTTTTCAAAAGTGATATGTTTATTTTCAGTTAAAATGTCGTAAAGTTTCATTCAAAATGGCTTGCTGTACTGCACGTTGCACATTGGTTTCAATATGCATCTTCCAGCTGGTAAGTGGAAGTTGTAATTAATAATAGTTACAAGAAGAAAAAAGATCAAATATAACTTAACTGACCTTTTTTTCATTGTTATATTACTAGTGAAATGTAGTTTTTCCGTAATTACATGTCTATTTTGCAGGTTTTTGTGCTAGAACGTACTGTGTTTGATTCACTTGGACACATGTATGGCCTAGTTGTTGGAGATGGCATCCAGATTATCATGGTTTTAGTTGGAGTTATTGGAACATACAGCTACAAACCCAAATACCTTGTACCTGTTAGTTGATTGCTTTTGTGACCATTTCTTTATTTTCTGTCAAGTTATTTCATGAATGTGATGTATTTTAGTACGGAACCATGCAGTTTCTTTGGCTAGGATGGAACGCGTATCTCGTATGTTACTATCTTGAAATTGGTCTTCTTCAAAGGGTATGTTATGTTCTTTTATCCTTTTTGTTCCAATCTAGCTTTTTATGTCAGAAATTGATGTTTAGAAAGAAATGTGGTCATGGCCTCTAAATTTGTCAATGGAAGCACAAGATTACTTTGACCAGAAACTGCTCACATGCAACACTACAAGCACAGCTACTACTGGAACAAACACTGGTTACACAATACCAGCCGAGGAGAATGTTCCCGCTGATTTTCCCATGTACTATCTGCTGATGTACAGAGACCCAAACTGTCTGATCAGGCCGCTCTGGTTCAAACTGCTCCAATGCGCCCTCCAAGTTATATTTTCGGTACAAATAGCTTTCAACAAGCCACTTTACTCTTGCGATAAGCAAGGGTATTGCAATCGGGTATTAGACTTTTCTCCCGTAAATAACCTGGTTCACAGAATGGTCAATTTAATAGGAATAGTACGCATCACTTCTGACATTCTCAATTCCTTGAAAGTTCAAATAAAACTACCATCTTTTAAGATATAATTAGGTACAGCCATTTTGATTTGCCGCTCGGTTATTGATTTCCAATTCTTTTTAAAGTCTGTTTATGAACTTCATCCAAATCAACTAGGAAGTTTTTGTAGCTGTTTTTTGTCAACTTATCAAGTTATTTTTTCAAGTAATTTTTTCAAATTAGTTTTTCAGAATTTTTTGACTGCCTTTTTTTCATTCACTATTGTGTAGCGCAGTGTGTTTTTTGTTGCATTGCAAAGGTCGTGAAGCGCCGCTTCGCCTCTGTGTGTTGAATTGCTTTGAGAATCCTGGATTTATAGTAGTTTTATATGTTTTTGAATAACAAGAACACGAAATAAATTAAGAAAAACAAAACTCCATGAACTATTCTATCGAATGGTCAACTTCAAAAAAGTATTATAAATAAGTTATGATAATTTTAGAAACAGCTGAATAGGTAATTTTTGTCTTTTCTCTTGGCTTCCGATATAGGTCCTGCACCTGATTAATTTCAAATATGCGCTAGAGATTACTTTTTTTTGAATGGTTTCAGTTCTTCGCAATGCTGTACGTGTGTTACATAGTCTACGGATACGAAGAAGACGATGATTGCTGTGAGTATCTTTCAGTTCATTTTTTCACAACCTTTTCTCTTCCCTTGATCTGTTCAGGACTTTGCGCATTGGATTTAAGTTTCTTTAAAGTTATCCGCATTCATGCCCTTTATTTTTACCACCACTATTCGTGCTTTATTATAACAGTAACTTATCATAATTGAACATCATAATTTTTTTCAGCCAAAACAGTTTGTACGTATTAACGATTTTCTTGCATCTGAAATGTATAACAGCCCATGACCACCACCGTTTATATGTTTAATGTCTTGATCTAAAATCCTCGTTTTTTTTCTCAAATTGCATGGCTCACTTTGCGTTAAAATTTGGTTTTTGAAAAATGAAATCGAGGGTAGCAGTATTTAGACAACCGCGTATTCAGACTCGTCAGTAAGCAGACAAATACTGTATTAACCAATCAGAACTGAGACAAGGAAGAAATTAATTAATAATAATTATTTATTTCGTAAGTTTGCTTTCTCATCCCGATTCTGATTGGTTAAAACATGATTTGTCTGCTTACTGACGAGTATGAATACGCGGTTGTCTAAATACAGACCGCACTCCAAAATCGAGGTACAAAACCGATTAAAATTGATCAAAATCTCTATTTAAATATTGAACCCCATTGATAAAAACAGTAGTTGTCGTTGTAGTTTTAAATCTTGTATAAGATACTTAAGAAGACTTTAACATTTTAAGACAATTTAATCATTTAGAGGATATCACCTTCTCTTATTGAATTGTATGTGTCTAAAATGTGGATTTGACAGAACCGTATATCATGCGTAAAACATAATTATTATCAAGTGAAATTAAGTGCATAATGTCTGAAAATTCGTTGTCCATTACTCATTTCTATTAAAGTCAAATCAGCTTGGAGCTTTCTTTTGGTTACGAAGAAGTTTGACAGACTGGCTAATTTAAGATTCCAAATCTTATGATATTTGACCAAATGAGCCCTCAAAGAGTTTGACGAATTTAAGCCAAAGAAAGAATTGCATTTTGTTTTCTTTGTTCGAAAAGACAGAAGTCTTCGGTTGAATTTGACTCTGAGAATTGTAGTGTGTTTGAAGAACTTATCTACTGTGTTAAAACATGTATCTTAGTGTGCCATAACTGTATAAAACTAAACATGGCTTAGCGTAGTACAAAAAAGACAGTTCCAGGCGCGTAGCATGTCACGAGTTAATCTATTTCGAAGCGTTTATAATACCAATAGCCCAAAATGTGATTGAGAAAGTTAGAAATATAAACTTCATGTATGCCTTCAAAGTATAAGTTTCAAACTTTTCAGTTGGAATAAACGTTGATTTAATTACCCATTGGTCGTTTCTCAATTGAATCAATCCTGACAAAATGCACTCATGTCATGGTTATCCTACGCGGGAAAATAGTTCGAAAATGGATCAGTTTACGCGAAATTAGGAATGTAAATAAGCATGCTATGCTTGTTATTGGACGTTAAAATCTATAAAAACTGCTGACCCGGTTTTAATCAACGGATTAGTCGAAATGCAAGTTTTCTGTTAGGTTTTCGATTTAAATTTCATCAATATAATAGTGTAAATTATGTTGGATTTGTTTGCCCGAAGGTATTATGCATGCATGTGTATTTAAATCATATATATCCAAAATTTCTCGAGAAATTTCAATGAGTATATGTTGAAAAAAAATCATTAGGTTCCAATTCCAAATGCGCAAAATCCTGAAGTTGCCATTTTTTATCCCTTTGTAGTATTAACAATCACCGATTCCCTGGTTAGTTTAGATACTGTTTGCTCTACAACTTGATGTAATTTTTAGCTGTAGGCTTAACTTTGTTCATTCTGAAGTTTGCGCGTGCACACCGCATCGTTGGATTTGTCGACACATTCACCTCACACAATTTATCCGATCTCCTTAACTACCTCCCCCCCCCATCACCACCACCCTTCTTTTAAAGAAGGGGGGCATTGGATACCAGCAGATACAAACGAAGTTCGCAATGGTTGGCTGTTGAATTAATTTTATGATTGGATATTTTTATCACACTTGTCGTAAGGGGGGGGGGGGATGGGTCAAAGAGATTCAATTTATTTTGTCACTGAAACATTTAATGTTGTTAATATCTGGTGTAAATTAAAGCAGGGCGCTGTGTTTAAAATGAGCACGAGCTTTTGTTCTAAACTGCGCTATAAAACTGATATGGATAAGAGTTGGAGTGGAAATATTCGAAGGCGCAAGTATGTTTTTTCTGATCTTAGTTAGGGTTGACATACACATAATTGCCTTTATGTTATAACAAAGGTGCGCAATCTGCTTTAGTTTACGATTTAAACTATGCTTTCAATCAATAAAACTGAGGATGTGGAAATTATTTTAGTCGACTTCATCGGAGGCTTCGACAACTACAATCCAGGCTACCCGGAGCCCCAGCAAGGTCCCCCCAAACATCACCCGGGGGCGGGGGGCTACTACCATGCCAGTGCACCCATGTCCCACCATCAGATGAGTGGGGGCAGTGGCAGCAGCATGATGATGCAGCCCCTTCCTGGAATGCACCCCCAAGTCATGTGAGTCTAGTGTCGACGGATTTAAAACTGGCTGTGGCGAAGAATTTAATCTTATTACGCATTATATTTTAAAAATTGTTTTTGACCAAATTGTTAGCACTATCGGCGACCTTGCGGTTTTAAATCGCTTAAAAAGTACAGTGCTGATTTAAATAAACCGTACAAAACGAAAAACATATAAAAAATTTAAACGTCTTTTCCTTAAATTGTGTTAAGATAAGACGAATAGTGATTAGGACAAAAGTTGCGTAAAATTTTACCTGAATTAGTTTGATGTTATTTGTTTTGCAAAATTTCAACAAAATTTTCCCCCCAAAAATAGGCCTTTTTAGCATTTTTTTAGTATATCAAGAATAAGGCTAACACTATCAAGTTTAAGGATGAGAAATTTTTACCGAAAGAAGCGTTTTACTCAGCTCAGCAATGTTCGGGATTAATAAAATCTCCAAAAGTGTGCAAAATATTTAAAATTTGTTTTCGAGCAAAGATTTCGAAATTTATATAGTGAAATTTTTTTTTTTGGCTTCCAATCGATTCAACTTCTCTAGAGCGTTTTTGAGCTGTATAAGACGCTTTTTATGTTTAACTTTATCACCAATTAACTTGGTAGTCTTAGCGTAATTCTTGATAAACTAAAAAAGCCAAAATATGACCTCTTGTTAAAATTTTCGTTGCGATTTTCGCAAAACAAACTGAATCAAAAAAATTCTGGCAAAATTCTCAGCAACTTTTATCGCCCTCACTTTTTGTCCTATCTGAACCCATTTTGAGAAAAACAGGGCGTTTGAAATATCAAAATGCTGTATTTTCTCTGGTTAATTTATATCAGTACTGTTTTGACTTGGCTGTTGAAGTTGTTTATAGTTATTTTGACATTTGGTTTTCGTGACGAAGGTTTGTTTTTCGTTCTTTTTCAGGCAAAAGTTCTAAATCACTTTGAGTTTTTTTGCTTTATGAGAGATTTCTTTTTTAATTCAGATCAATTTCATTTGACAAAAAAATTGACCTGAAAATCTCGAAATTATCTGATTGAGTTAGTTTTCTCAATTTTAGTGATTTTTCGATAAAAAGCTCTATCACGAAAGATTTTTGAACCTGAAACAGCTATCAGTGTGACATACGTTTTCTTAGAACCTCTAAGATGAAAATTTTTCCGAAAAACTTCATTATTTTTTTTCGGCTTCTAATAGTTTGTTGAGACTTCTACGACTCCCTGTCGATTGTTTTTGACGCTCAAATGTTCAAATCAAATTCATTTGCTAAAAGGAAGGCGCACAAGTTAACATCATATCCCTCCAAAGCCGTTTAGGAATAAAAATGCTAACTTGGTTTTGGGTTTTCAGCCAAATAGAATAAAACTTTTTACCTTAATGTTGAGCAAGTTCAGTTTTAATTAAACACGGGGTAGAGGATCTTATTTTCTTCTTGTCTAATCGGGTGGGGGACGATAATTTGTCCCAGGGAGGCAAAGTATCTTCTCCAATTACGAATGTGCAAATGGCGAAAAAAACCTGATATTTTTTAGATCTCTCGGTGGTATGAAAAATTTACCTATTGATCTATTTTTCGAATTGGGTTAGATTCATCTAAAAATTGTCAATCATAAAAGATTTTGGAAATGCTGTTAGCTTTAAGACTAAATGTTTTTTATTTGAAATGTTTTCAAAAGAGGAAAATTTTTTTAAAAAATGTTTCTGAGTCCAGTGTTCATCTTTTCGTTTCTGATTCCTTTGAATTTTCAAAATGTTCGGTGCTCAAGTTCCTAGCAACAATATTATTGCAAAGATTTTGGCGTTCTGATTAACCCCAAGCTCACTATTAGATTAAGAGTATTTTTGAGCATGACTTTATTACAGTCTCGAAAGTAGTGTATTAGACTGGCAACTTTTTTCCAAACTAAATTGCAAATAAAAGTCCTCATTTAGTTGAAATTTTACTGTAATCACAATCTGTAGCATTGGAAATAACGAAGCATCTATTCTCTGCTTTTATTTTGGCTAGTTTGCCAATCGATAAGCGTCGATGGCTGAGAGGAAATATCGTGAGACTCCAAATCGCGAGGTCCCAGGCTCGAATCCGATACATTGCAAAAGTTTTTCTAATTCGAGGCTTATTTTTACTTCTTGTTTAACTTTTTTATTCACTTTATAGAGCTTCTTTTTGTTGTTTTCTTGCTATTGTTTTCGAAGCGCAACTTCACCTGAGTTTTGAATTTCCGATCTATTCGAAAATAAACAAACCTCGCCCTCATAATTTTTCTTTGTTTTTTGAGAGAATTGAACGTAGGGAAAACTCGTATATAGGTCTCATTGATTTTTTGGTTTTTTTTTTCACGAAAGTTCAGGCTCAATTTCGATTTTTCGTGGCTTGACTTTTGATTTCTTTTTAAGTTCAGCTCATTTAAAATCTTAAAAGGACGGTCAAATCAACCATCGAACAGCAAAAGTGTAAAGGTCACGAAAAACGTGATCAGCTTTATATTTTGAAAATGGATTAATTATCAGTTTGCCTAACGAAATGAAAATTTTACCTGTTGATTCAATTTTCGCAAATTTTTTTTTTCAGAGCTTTAAGGTCAACTAGTTTTTTCTTTGACGTTTAAAGTCCAAAAAACAAGTCAGTAGTTTTTTCTATTGCGTTCATTGACTATGTTTCATTTACTTGTTGGCTATGTTCCTTCAAGTAGCAAAAAAATTATTTGTACTCCAGAAAAATTAGTTTTGGAAGCTTCGTTTTTTTGCGCTTCTTTCGCGGGAAAGTTTTTTAAAACTTACTTTTTCGTGGTTTGATTTTTGTTCTCTTTTTAGATTCTGTTCATTTACTTAGTTTAAAGGAAAGCGAACTCCACTATTAAACAGCAGAATCGTAAAGGGCACAAAAACCCGATCGATTTCTAGTTTCGAGAGTTAAATTTAATTTTCAGATTTCTCAGCGAAATAAAAATTTACGTATTCATTCAGTTTTCTTAAATTGGGTTAATTTTATTCAAAAATGGTATTAATCAAAACTTGTTATAGAAGTTCAAAGAGCATTAAGGCTATTTTTTTTGTGAAATTTGAAAGTTGAAGTTTTTTCAAAAAATAAGTTTGTTATTTTTCTGTTTACTTGCATTCATTGCCTCTTTTCCAACTCTCTGCTGGTTATGTTTCCCTTGTAGTTTTTGAATAAAACTCATGTTTTTTGTATGATGTGAAAAGCGACAACTTTGAGCTGTTGTCGGAATATCTTTAAACAAATTATAGTGCCGATGCTTCGAAAATCATTGTTCCCATCCCTGGACGTCCTTGGGAGGTTGAATTGGAGGCAAATTAGTCAATATCGGCTAAATTTTCAAACGTGAAATGTTTGTGAATGGCAACAATGAAGTTCCCTAAAGATTGGTTTTGTGTGAACAAAATGTCAAATAAATATAAAGATATATTTTTTGAGCAGTAACTGAAGTTTTCAGTCATTTTTATTTTTGTTCAAGGTCGTATAGACCCAGTCTGCACGTGTTAAACGATTGCTTGAATATAATGTTACAATAGTTGCGTTAGTTTTCAGGGCTATCCGGAAATTTAAAAAAAAAACAATGCAAATTCTGTCCACTAGACAGCCTTATTTGCATTTTTACCCTATTTCCCTCTTTTATCTATTTGTTTTTATGTCACCTTTTTAGAGACATTGTCGAGCGTTTTGTGGAATATTCGTTCGCTTGTTCTGCTTTTATTTTTTCAACGGGATACATGTTTTTTTTTTCATTTGTTAAAGGGAATTTGGTGGATAGCATAGACATATGGTGTAGTTAATGGTGATTCATTATAACCTGAAAGTTATTAGTTATTTGTAGTATGACTCACAATACATTTACCAGGGAAGAGATGGCAAACCGGCAAAATTATTACTATCAGAGACAGAATGCCCACCAAAGGTTTGTTGGGGTAACAGACAAAAAATGATGAACAAACTAAATATTGAACATGTTTCAATGAAAAGTCTGAACATGCTATCATTCATCAACTGGTCTGAAAGAATCTCTATTGGATTTGAGGGTTTTCATTTGTTTAAATTATTAGTTTTTCTCTTGGAACCGATCATAATTTGGGTTCATTCAAGTCAAGTCACTTCAGCTTCTGACATCCACTGTTTTTTTAACTGATATATATATATTTTCATATTAACTGTCATAGTTTAAATTTAGCAGTCTATTCTAGAATGAAAACGTGACTGGTTGTTGGTAAACAAAATGTAGTGTGCAAGACAAATATTTGTAAGTTGTATCATGCGATATTCAGAAAGACGTTGACCTTATTTCAAGATGAGAAACTAACCTATGTCAGCTACAATTTTTCTGAATTAATCGTCATTTTCATAATCAGCGACTAGTCTCATGTTGTATGAATTTGGTGTGGCTCAATATGCCGAAAATGATACAAAAAAAACTAAAACATTCGACAAAATTTTGGCAAAAAAAAATCTTTTTCTCAATCTGAACAGGTTATTGAAATCAGTTTGGACTGCTAAAGTCTATGTAGTAGGAGGCTATTCTCATGGGCGAAGGTACGAATAAGCAAAAAATTTCAACCAATCAGCGTCACTTATAGGTATTTCCAGTTTTTTGAATACTGAATTTTGATTGGCTGCCATAAAGGTCGCACATTCGATCCTTCGTGCCTGAGTGATTCCTCCTTTGAACAACACTAAAATTTTAAAGTTATTTTGAAAGTACGGAATGTTTATTATTTTGTATGTGTTCCAGGGACAACAGGGGTGAAATTCAGATGTATGTCGACTCCAGAGCATAGAAAGCCACTTTGTTCCAAAAAGGAATGAGAATGGTCGGAAGAATCACACTACCTGGTCATACATTAAGTCCATAAGTCCATGATCCCCCAAATAAACTTCACTTTAAAACTCTGTCTCATTCTATTTGATGTACGATCCAAGAAAAAATTGTTTTTGATGCTTCAATAAGGAAGTCAAATTGTGCATCAAAACTGATTTTTTTTCTTCCAGTGGGCTTGAAGGTATTAATACTTGGAGTTTGTTTCCTGCTAAAAGTATAATACCTATGAGCATGTAATTATACTTGAGAATATCTTCTGATTTTGTAATTATTATACAGTTCTATCATGCACAAATTTCATAACCCGAGTTTAACAGATGCTCCGTGTCACTAAGTTGAAAAAGTCAACTGTTGTTTGAAGTCATCTCCAGCATTACTGATTATTGTTGCAGTATAAGCTCAGTCGAAAGTTAGTTAAATGTGAATTAGGTAATGATTATTTAATTGAACCGCGCTGAAAAAAGCGGTGCTCATTTTTATAATTCTAGTTTGTTTGCTCTTTTTGATAATTTCAAATTCAGTGCTTTGTGTCCCCTAGGAGAATAGATTGCTAATTAAATGAAATGATTGCTTTAATGATCATCAGTGTTTTCTCTCCTGTTTCAGAGATAAGTTTTATTTTTGTCCAAATAATTGGTACGATTTGAAGTAATAATTATAGTGCTTCACTCAACGAAAGTCGATAATTATTTGAATATATTTTATATAGTGTTACGCGAAATCATTGCAAAAACAGTACATTCAATTCAGTACACCATTCATGTATGCATGTTTTGATCGTGGAGATTATTCTGATGGATGAAAATATTTACATTTCTTTAGAAATAAATTGAACCTTATATGACTTTTTCTCCGAGTATAAGAATAGACAAGGATTTTAAAGTGAATGTCAATAACGAAGTGAACACTTTAATTTAATTTATGTTTTTTAGAGTCGATGAACGTAAATCGGACTCTTATTGAGGTGGTGATGATTTTTTTCAGGAAATGTCTTGAAATTTGTTCTGGCTCAAATTTACTTTTTGCTGTTTGACATTTGATTTTTTTTCAAGTTCATTTCCTTTCTTTTGTCGAAAAGCATAAACGTGTATGTCACAAAAAGCGTGATAAATATTTTTTTTTAAAAATGTATTTTAATTTTCAGTTTAATATTATGATCCAGTTTTCTCAATTTGGGTTACTTCAATCATAAATTGTTTTTGAATTTCAAAAAGCCTGAAGGCTATCTATCTATATGTGATTTCTCAATGTTTTTGTTTATTTGTGTTCATTGACTCTTTCTCAACTATCTGTTGACCATGTGGTACTGTTTCCAATGGATTCCGCAACAGGCAAAAATCAGATTGGTCACGGAATTCGCAACATTGCCATTTTTCTTCGATCTTTGCTGTTTTGGATTCCAAGGACAAATAGCTAAAACACTGTATTGCTCAAATTCGCTCCAGAAACAGGCAACTTTGCGGACTCCGCAACAAAATGTGTGGAATCCGGAACCAGTTTAGGGAATCCATATACAATTAATAATATATGTTTTTAGTAAACTTAAGCTGTCACGGAGTTGCAACTAAGTGGAATCCCCAAAATGAAAGCGGAATCCGCAAATTGAAAGCGGAATCCGCAAATTGTAAGTAGAATCCGCATAAATTTTTGGAATCCATTTACATTTGCGGAATCCGCTTGCAACTATATTTTCGCTCATTGCGGAATCGGCAACAAAATCAATGTGTCGACAAAATTTACGTTACAGGTGTTTGTCCGCCGAATCCACCGAATTTTTTAAGCGGAATCCACTTACATTTTGGAACTTGTTTAAAGACTTGACTCTGGAATCCCGGCACAAACAGACACTAAATTTTGCGCCTATCCAGTGCAAAGTTTGGCCTCGTAATAATATTTACGGTCTCAGCGATACTTCCAAACTCTTGCCTGCCAGTTTTTTCCCACTCAATTAGTGGTTTCGTGATTCACAAGGTTGGCAATCGAAACCAACTGTGCGAACAGGATAGACAAAATTCTTACAGATAGATCTATCGGTAGAACAACAATCGGTTCAAAAGAGTTTTTGACTATAGTTGCTGCGTTAAATTTAAATTTGAAATATGAAGGTTTTAAAGAATACCACTAAGCGCAGGTTACTCGGTGTATGAAACGTTTGATCTGAAAAATAAAAAATATCACCATTTCTTTCGAAAACTAAGATTTCTTGGATACTTTTCAATGCAGCTCAAATTAGAATATAACTGAGTCAGACGTTGGCTTTGTCAGTTTTGCAGTGTGAAACAAAAATTTCAATTGTTCAGTTTTGCTGGTTTAATGGGTTATTTTAGAGATTTGAACAAAATCGGGGCGCTTTCCGAGCTTGTAAAACGTAAGTTTATCGTTTTTAGATTTATAATATTTTAGACGTCTAAGTTAGTTTTCAGTTCTAAAGCTAAAAAGGCAACAGTTAATTTCTTATAATTGTGATATATATGTTTTTTTATGATCTAACATTTTTCGAGGTTGGTGTTTGGTTTGTTTTTAAATTCAGTTCATTTTTTAGAAGAAAACAACACCTACACTACGTACTAAAAAAAACTGGAAACTACATTCCTAGTACTAGTCTCAAGTTGGCCAAACTTGAAGGTTATAGCCCGCGTAAATCTGCAAAAAAAAACAATTGCAGGTGAACAATGTTCGTTACATGGAAGTCAAACAGGAATCATATCTTACAATGGTTAAACAAGTTGCATTCAATATCAGAAAGATTTCAACAATTATTTCAAGGAATGATTATGCTTTTAGTGCTGGTTCTGCTTTTTGAGCTATTTTTAAGATAACTAATCTTGTTTAACAATTTTTACACTTCAACGTCACTCAATTAGTTTTATTTAATTACAAAATTTATAATTTTTAATTAATTTTTCAAGGGATAGCGTGTTGCAAAAGAAACTGTTTGAATTAATCGAATGTCGAAAAAAAAAAATTCAATCAAAAAGGAGATTTTTTCTTACTAAGTCAATTTTCAAACTTTTTCAAGCTTTTCAGATGAGTTGGAGTGAAACTTTTGCTTCACAGAGCTGTGGCATGGCATCATCACATGAATTAGAATTGAAAAATTGTGAAACAGTATTTTTAGATTTGGATTGTCTGATGTCTTTTTTCTACTTGAAAAAACAGTATAAAATTAGTGAACTTAGACTATTTACCATTTTTTTAGACTTGATTTTTACACATTTTTTTAACGATAACTGAACTTTGTAGTTCAGTCATTTGCGACAATTATGTAGCAAATAATTACACACCAAGTAAATAAATTTCAGAATGTGACCCGACTACAGAGGGCTTTTACTATTAAAAAAAAATCAATCAGAAGGTATCAGTTGTTAAACGGGAGTAATATGACTGAAGAGTTTGTTATGCTAACAAACGAACAGCTTAACGGACGAGTATAACAGCTATTCAGTAGCAAAAACTTAATCATTTGAAAATCAGATAAGTGAACTTGGAAAAAACTGATTTCAAAACCAATCCAAACTGCTTGTATCAAGGCAAAATTCTGAGTGTTTCGACTGCCTTTTAAGGTTTATCGAGCAGTAATAACATGAAAAAAATTTAAAAAAAAAATTCAAAAATTTTTAATTAAAAATGGAGATTTTTTGTGAAATTCGTCTTCACACACGCCCTATAAAACACAGAGTGATAGATATCGCTCCTAGTAACAAATAAGTTATGCAAATAAGCTTCATTCAACCAATTTGGAACGATTTTTAAGACAGAATAAATCTCTGCTAACGCGTTAATAGCGCGATATATATCGCGCGTTGATTGTCCCAAATTGGCCAAAATGGGGTATCTTTTCAACTATCTTTTCAAATTTAAGCCCGCAGCAACAATACCTTTTGAATACTACAAAAATTTTATCAAAAGTGGTTAGTTAAAAATTCGAAATTCGTCTGAAGAAACAAAAACCACCCCGAGCACAAATATTCCTTTATTTTAATAAAAATTGTTCGATTGATTTCTTAACCTACCAAAATTGGAACATTTGACCGCAATTGATAGATAATTAGTGGCTATCAATGTTTCTAGCTTTTGCGAAGAAAAGTATTTATTGCATATGCTGCATACTTTTTGTCCGGCTAATCGTTAAGGAACGTCAATTAAAGAAGAAATAAATCATCAAAATGTATATGCCCAACTATTTTCATGGTTTTTGTTTTCGAAGATAGTCGAAGTTATCAAAACGAGAATGAAAACAAAGATCAGGCCTTTTCTTGATAGATTTAAAGCATACTGAATAAACTGTTTCAAGATGCAATTTTCAATTTTTCTAAACTTCGATTTTTAAAAGCCAATTTAAAAGATTTTTTTAAATTCTGAACAGCGATAAACTATGTTGGCTTAAATAAATGAAAAAAAGTTTTTTCAAAATTTTTGTACATGCTAACTAACACACAAGAACAATTTTTAAACCACTGAAATTGTTTTTCTTACAGGAAGTTTGAAAGCAGATAAGAACCCTCACTGGGTGCGGCACTTCCATATTGCCCTGATAAAAGTCACAATGTCCATCAACTCGAATCCGATGATGTTTTTTTAAGAGTAACTTTGATTATGGCTGAATTTTAAAGAAAACAGCTCACAATCGCATGATAAAATCGCATGATTATTGAAATAAGTTCTACTTAATTCACAAACTTTTTTTAAAAATGAATGATTAAATTGGCATAATCATGATAAATTTTAGAGATTAGAAGACTTTAAAAACCAAGAAATTTAACTGAGAAATTTTTGCATATTCAGGCTTAATTTTTTCGTAGAACCATTGTTTAACTCAACGTCCAATTTCCATTATAAAAAGACTCAACCTTAAGATAGTTTCAAATATAGTTGATTAAAGGCAGCGTTAGTACAGTAAAACCAACAAATATAAAAACCGAT